TTCATTGTTCTTCAGCATATAGCCTCACGCACAAAATTTCGTTTCTGACTTAAGCATCGGAGGGGCGATGAGAACACACCTCATTGCCTTTGTTTCAAGTACCGGAAGATCACATTCGTGCTCCTCATTAGTTATCAAGCTCGGGAAATCTACAGGTACGATTTTTGGTAGCATCATTGGTGCTGTCTGTGGGAAACGCTACCAAAAGCCATGGTACACACACGTTCAGGTCTTCCACCAGCAAGTTCATCCGCTCCAAACCAACCCCCTCCTGAGGATATCCCTGTTCCTCAAGAGGAATCATCAGAAGTGCCAGAGTCCCAGCCGGCAGTCGTCACTGCTGGAGCCTTCGAAGAGCTCAGACAACAGGTCGCCACACTGACTCAGCTGCTAAGTCAAAGAAATTCGCTTCCGTCACCTACACCAGCACCCCAGGGGGGTTTTATGGCTGATGCTCGAGCTCAAAGACATGTCCCTGACAATGGCGGAGCAGGGGCCTCGGGTATACCACATGTGACCTTGACCTCGAGATCAGTGACCATGGAGTCCGGGGAACTCGCTAGGATTATTCAAGAAGGAATTACGGCGGGCCTACTTCAGGGCAACAAAGGGACGACAAGATTCAATCCCAACACTCCCTTTACTCTCGAGATATTAACATTTCCCTTGCCAGACAGATTTAAGTATCCTAGGATCAAAGAATATGATGGGACCACCGATCCAATCAATCATCTTAACGTATACACGGACGTCATGAATCTACAGGTCGCACCAGATCAGGTGATGTGCAAGGCCTTCCCGCAAATTTTGAAGAATGCTGCTAGGGATTGGTTCTCAACCTTAGAGCCCAACTCCATAGCCTCATTCTCGGATTTGGCGGACAAGTTCTCTGATTTCTTCGCAAGCAGTAAACGCATCAGGAAGACAGCGGCTTCCCTCATGCAACTTAGACAAGGGCAAAATGAGACCCTACGTGACTTCATGACCAGGTTCAACAAGGAAAGACTTTAGATTCCCGACCTACACATAACTGCAGCAGTTTCTGCCCTCACATATGCCATAAAGTGTGAGGCTTTCAAGATGTCTTTATCCAAAACTCCGCCAAAGACAGTGACCGAGCTTCTTACCCGAGCCGAGAAGTACATAAATATGGAGGAAATACTGAACCCGAGAAAGGTTGGACCACCCCATGACAGGGTCGAGCATAAACAACAGCACGACCCGAACCCCCATGAAGAACAACATCGAAAAAAACAGAGACAGGAGGTTCCCCCGACGTCATTCACGTGTTTAAATACGTCAAAGACCAATATATTGATGGAGATCAAGGATATGAAGGAACTCAAATGGCCTGTCAGAATGAGGTCACCACCCGAATCCTGGGACATGAACAAGTACTGTGAGTTCCATTGGGATCATGGGCATACCACGGAGAACTGTAAGGCCCTACAATGGGAGATTGAAGCCCTTATTAAAAGGGGACTCTTGAGTTCCTATGTCGGTAATGACAAACGCCCGAGGAATGATCGTTGTTATGCCTATGAATTATCCCTCCATATTGGGTCATTTTATTGGACCCGAGCCAGGCCCATTAGTGTTGGGTCCCAAAGTCGAGGCTCCGACAAGGCCAACCGAGGCGCAGTCGAGGTCCATATTGGGTCATTTTATTGGACCCGAGCCAGGCCCATTAGTGTTGGGTCCCAAAGTCGAGGCTCCGACAAAGCCAACTGAGGCGCAGCCGAGGTCCATATTGGGTCATTTTATTGGACCCGAGCCAGGCCCATTAGTGTTGGGTCCCAAAGTCGAGGCTTTGACAAGGCCAACCGAGGCGCAGCCGAGGCCCTAAGAAGTCTAGCCGAAGCGCCTGTCAAGGCGCATATTATTTTGCTCACCTCGTATTAAGCTCAGACTTAGGCCCACTAACCCTTTTGGCCCGCTTCACATCCATTTCTCTATATATATGGATTTAACTCACACAATCTAGGTATGTTCTAAATACTCTAGCCAAATTCCCTATCTCTCTACTATTGCACTCTATATATCTATCTCCGTCCGACCGTTGACTTGACCGTCGGAGTGCAAACGGTCGCCAGACCTTTTTCTCGTCCGGCCGCCTTTGTCTCTTGACGAGTGTTACATGCGCAGGTTTTGAGGGGACAAAGTTAGGGTGCCTATTGGAGCCATTTTTGGAGGTCAACAATCGTGGCAGGGAAAAAGCCCCTGAGGCAAAAAGGGATGGTCAACCCACTGCTGGAACCATCAATATCATCATTGGGGGTATTGCCTCGGGAGGAGACTCCAATAGTGGAAGAAAACAATATGCCCGACAATATGCCTTGGCCTCTGGGATGCCTCATGAAAAGCTGGAGGATATTACTTTTGGGACCGGGGACTTAGAAGATGTATCACTTCCACATGATGACGCCTTGGTAATCTCAGCGATTGTGGCCAATTTTGAAGTAAAGAGAATCTTGGTTGACAACGGGAGTGCAGCCAATATACTTTCACAAGAAGCTTTTGCCAAAATGGGAATCTCATCTCAGCAGCTCAAAGCGGTTAAAACTCCTCTCCAGGGGTTTGGGGGAGGAGTCATCACTCCAGAGGGTGTCGTCGAGCTTCCTCTAACTTTGGGTTCTGGCCAGAAACAGGTTACGGAGATGACATCTTTTCAAGTGGTACGTGTCTCAATGGCCTATAACGCTATTCTGGGAAGACCACTCCTGAACAAGATTAAAGTCATTGTGTCTACCTTCCACCTAGCCATGAAATTTCCAACAAGTAATGGCGTTGGGGTCGTCCGTGGAGACCAGACAGCTGCCAGACAATGTTATGTTGCCAGCGTTTGGGAAATAAATAACGACGTCATGCAAATCTCGAGGATGGAGCCCGAGGCCGAGCAACAAGTCAGACTTGCTCCTATCGAAGAATTGATGGAAATTGAGCTCGAGCATGATAAGAAGGTGACGATTGGTCGGGATCTTGACGTCACCCTCAAGATAGAACTTGTTGGTTGCTTATCTTACAACATTGACGTTTTTGCCTGGAAGGTTGAGGATATGTTAGGGATAGACCCTAAAATTGCAGTCCGTAGGCTTAACATTAGCCCAGGGGCCAGACCAGTAAAGCAGAGGAAAAGACAGTTTGCCCCAGAACGTCGGGAGGTCATTCGCGAAGAAATTAACAAACTCGTCAGTGCTCAGTTCATTCGGGAGGTCCAATATCCCGATTGGCTTGCCAATATTATTTTAGTGGAGAAGGCCAATGGTAAGTGGAGGGTCTGCATTGACTTCACAGATTTTAATAAAGCATGTCCAAAGGATAGTTATCCCCGACCGTGGATTGACAACTTGGTGGATAGCACGTCTGGACATAAGCTATACAGCTTCTTAGATGCATTTTCTGGTTATCATCAAATCCTCATGGCCGAGGAAGATCAAGAAAAGACATCATTCATGGCCGATTCCGCCATATGCCGTTATAAGGTCATGCCTTTCGATTTGAAGAATGCGGGGGCAACATACCAAAGGCTCATCAACAAAGTCTTTGCTAACTTGATTGGAAGGAATGTGGAGGCGTCCGTTGATGACATGGTGGTCAAGAGCAAACAGGTAGACCAGCATATTTCAGATCTTGAAGAGGTTTTCGACACCTTGCGAAAGTACGGAATGAAGTTGAACCCCGCAAAATGTGCATTTGGCGTGGCCTCGAGCAAGTTCTTGGGCTTTATGATCACTCACCGGGATATAGAGGCCAACCCTAACAAAATAAAAGCCTTGGCGTCTATGGAATCACCAAGGAACAAGAAAGAGGTATAGAGATTGACTGGTAGGATAGCAGCCTTGAACAGGTTCATGTCCCGAGCATCAGACAGGTGCTATCCCTTCTTCAAAGTCCTCAGAGGAAACCAAGGCTTTGATTGGAGTGAAGACTGTGAGAAAGCTTTTCAGGAGCTCAAGCAGACATTGGCATCTCCTCCTATTCTCACTAGGCCCGAGCCTGGTGATACCTTATTTTTGTACCTGGCCGTATCTCAAAACGCGATCAGCGGGGTCTTGGTGAAAGAGGTTAACAAAGTCCAACAACCTATCTACTATGTAAGCAAGGTCCTACTAGATGCAGAAACAAGGTATACTTTGGCGGAACAACTTGCCCTTGCCTTGGTTATAGCAGCACGGAAACTCCGGCAGTATTTTCAGTCTCACCCTATTATGGTGCTCACTAATCAACCACTTAGGCATATATTTCAGAAGCCGGACGTATCGGGAAGACTGATGAAATGGGCAATCGAGCTTGGAGAATTTGACATAGAATTCAAACCACGCCCATCTATCAAAGCCCAAGCACTAGCCGACTTCATTGCAGAACTAACCCATAGGCCTCGGGGGCCAGGTGACAGCTCGAGCATGAGCACTAATTTGGACACTTGGCAAATTTTTGTGGATGGAGCATCGAACTCCTCGGGCTCGGGCGCAGGGGTCATCATCATCAGCCCTGACAAACAAACAGAGATCCAATGCGCTCTTAGGTTCGAGTTTGAAGCAACCAACAACGAGGCCGAGTATGAGGCTGTCGTTATTGCTCTGGAGCTAGCCCTTTGCCTTGAGATCGAGTTCGTAAAGATATTCAGCGATTCACAACTGGTGGTCGGACAGATTGAAGGATCATTTGAAAGGAAAGACGAGAAAATGAGTTTGTACTGTATGAAGGTTTAGGATCTTCAACGAAAATTTAAGAGTTGTGAAATTGCAAAAATTGCGCGAAAGGACAACGGAAAAGTCGACGCATTATCCAGGCTTGTGTTCACGGGGGTAGACGGCCTTGACAGAACAGTTCACATTAAAATCATCACAGAACCCAGCATCAGTCAAATCCTCGACATCATGGACATTGATGACGAACCATCCTGGATAGACCCAATCATAGAATTCATCACAGGTGGAAATCTACCAAGCGATGCCAGGTTGGCTAGAAGCATCAGAGCTCGATCTCCTAGGTACTGCATGATCAGCGGTGTCCTCTTTCGCAGAAGTATTACTCTTCCATACCTAAGGTGCCTCAGACCATTAGAGTCATCCCAGGCCCTTGCTGAAGTTCATAAAGGTGTGTGCAGGAATCATCAAGGAGCCAGCGCCTTGGCCTTTAAACTCGGACGATATGGGTACTATTGGCCAACTATGAAAAAAGACGCCTTAGAATATGTTAAAAGATGTGATAGGTGCCAGAGGTTTGGTAATGTTATCCACTCACCAGCCGAAGACCTCACCAACATTAACTGTTCGGCCCCGTTTGAACAATGGGGAGTTGATATCTTCGGCCCCTTTCATGTGGCAAGAGATCAATTAAAGTTTGTTGCTGTAGCAATAGAGTACTTCACAAAATGGGTAGAGGCCGAACCTCTCGCCACAATATCGAAGCCCAAGCTAAGAGCCTTCACTTGGAGATCTATCATTTGCAGGTTTGGGATACCAAAGGTCCTCATCACCGACAATGGCAGGCAATTTGACAATCAACAGTTTAGGAACTTTTGCGCAAACCTTGGGATTGATCACCGTCTGACATCAGTTTCGCATCCTCAGAGCAATGGTCTGGCCGAGGTAACAAATCGAATCATATTACAAGACCTCCGGACAATAATAGGCAATGCTAGGGGTTCTTGGTCCGACGAGCTGCCTTCTATACTTTGGACGTATAGAACAACTCAGAGGACAACCATAGGAAAAATCCCTTTTATGTTAGCCTATGGCATTGAAGTAATGGTCCCGGTGAAAATTAGACTCCCGAGCCATAGGAGGCTCGTGCCAGAAACCTCGGAGCATACAACTGAACATCTTGATCTCTTGGAAGAAGTACGGGAGCAAGCTGCTATAAAGGTGGCCTCTTACCAAACTAAGACAGCAAAACATTTTAATAGCAAAGTCAAGACTCAGAGGTTCAGAGCTGGCAATTTGGTCTTGAGGAGGGCCAAAGCAGCAGGCCACCCCCCAGGAAAGCTCGGGCCCATCTGGGAAGGGCCATTTGAGGCCATACGACAAGTTCGTAAAGGAGCGTACAGCCTAAGAGACACTTTGGGTAGACCTCTTCCAAGGCCCTGGAATGCCGACAATCTAAAAATATATTACAAGTAACATTTTCTTTTTCTGCATTTTTTCTTCTGAATGTTATTTTTGGTTCTTCGGGCCTGTATGCCCTTGCATTTTATTTCTAGTTTAGCGGGCATGCGTGCCCATGCATGTTTTTCGTTTTCTTTTGTAATGAACTACGTTCGGCTTGATCCCGTTTGGGTACGTAGGCAGCTTGGATACAATATAAATCCAAGTCCAGTCCAAACAATTAATAAATCCAAACCTTGGATATAACAGCCCGATAGTTTGCTTTGCGTCCAGGAATTACCAAAGCCTTGCCCCGAGCAAGCATGTAAGCCTTGCCCTCGAGCAAGCCACCTTAAGCCTTGTCCTCGACAAGCCAGTGTAAGCCTTGCCCTCGAGCAAGCCGTCTAAAGCCTTGCCCCGAGCAAGCATGTAAGCCTTGTCCTTGAGCAAGCCACCTTAAGCCTTGTCCTCAACAAGCCAATGTAAGCCTTGCCCTCGAGCAAGCCGTCTAAAGCCTTACCGA